AAAAAAAAAAAAAAAATCTCGAGCACAGCTGACCTGGAAGCCACCCCATCATGCAAGAGACAAAGCATGCTCAGTCTTGGCCTCCTCCTTCGGTTAAAGTCCACTTAAAAGCCCTGATATCTTTGGGTTTTTTTTGGCAGAAGCGCCTCACTGGAGGAGCTCTTCTGTGGGACCTATCGGCTGCTTGCATTAAAGCTCCTGAAAGGGAGACCCTTGGGAGGCCCCTTCATGTCTGTTTTGACGGTTTCAGGAACCAAAGCAAGCCAGTCCTTAAGAGGAGGAGGGGTGGGGAAGCTAATTGCACTCCCTAGTATAAAGATAAAAGAGGGGAAGAGCAAGTCCTTTGAGTTCTGGCACCGGATGCGTTCTCTGGTTTTCAAATAGAGCAGGAAAGTCATCCAGAGTTCATTTCCGAGATTCCTGGTGGTGAAAGGTTCAGCTGTAGCCCAAGGTCTCAAAGGGCTTGAAAGCGGCAGGACTGTGTTGGCTTAGAGCAGTCCCTTGCCTCCATTTCCAGAAAGTGTGAGGATAGCACACACGAACAGACTGGCCCCTTGCAGAAGTCAAACGTTTACTCAGAAAGACAGGCTAATGAGTGAAAACAGGCAGTGAGGGCCGCAACAGGCGACCCCTGCACTCTCTATCCTTTTCCGCCGTCCACTTCCAGGTCCTAGGAGGCTCTGCTCTGTCTCAGGCAGAGTTTGGGAGGCTTGGTGGGCAGCATGGAAATATTTCTGTCTTTTGCTTTGTTTCCCACATTTATTTGGGGAGCAAACAGCTCGGCTGGTAAGAATGCATCCTGCTTGTGCACTGCTAGTGGCCCATCTCTGTTCCTGGGTTTCAGTGACATGCTGCTTGTGGAACATCCGGGGACTCTTTCTGGGGCTTCCGACTCAATCTCCAGTGAGCGTGTTTGTATTTTTAGGGCTCCGATGTTGAAGCAGCAGCGCCAGACTCTGACAGCATAAGTGGCCACGAGGATCTGGCCTCGGAGGAATGTCTGTCTCCAACGCAAGCGGAAGACCAGCAGCAGCAAGGTGAGTCTGGGCACAGAGCTTTGGCTGCGTTCCCTTTTGGGCCAAAGAGCTTCTGGGAATCGCACAGGAGGATTCCTGGGCCAACTGAGCAACGTCTGGCTGCCTGGGAGGGGAAGAGATCTGAGGTTTGGGTGGCCAGGGATGAAATGGGAAGCTTTGTTTTGACAGGCATTTGAGGATAAGCTCCGTCATGATCTTCCCTGTGCAGGGCAGAAACAGGCTGGTAGTTGCTAGTGAGAGGCCGATGGGGAGCGTTAGGAGCACTAAAGCAGGCCAGTTTTCCAGAGGTCCAGTCACTGGTTTGTGACTGGAACTGTATCGGCCTTGGAGATAAAAAAGTCTCATTTGTAGTAGAAGCATTCCCAAGCTGTTGTGGTTCCCATAGCCAGATTCCTGTGTAATGGGTGCAGTGGACATTCTTGCCGTATAACTAAAGCTCTCCAGCCCAGGTTCTCCGGGGGAAAGCTGTGATGAGCCCACTTGGATTGAAAGCCTGAGCAGTATGAGTGGGTGTAAGAGCAGAGACACGTGCGTGCAGGAGGGTCATGGAGGAGCAACCTGGTATGTCTTCATCCTTTCTTTCTGCAGTTGACTTTGGCCAGGGTGATGGGGCACCAGTGAGCGCTACAAGCCAGTCCCCCACGGAGCCCAGCAAGCTGGTTCCTGGGGTAAGTCATGATTCAACACGGGGCTCGGAAGATCACGTCTGGAGACAAACGCCTCTTTCTTCTGTAGCTCTCAGTAGAAAGGCGAAACATTAGAAGTGGCCTCTTTGGCAGAGCTTGTGCCAACAGAGGAGGCCCAGCTGATCTTTCCATCCCTGCTGTGTGGCCTGTTCTGATGCCAGCAGGCTCTGACTTTGCTAGAGGGGTCCCCGTGAATGTGCCCTAAATTAAGGGGCGTTTATTTCACCTTATTCTCTGCTGCTGGGATTTCCCTGCAAGAGCCTTCCAGCTAGGAGAAAGCTGTAGTCCTGGGGCCATAGGAGAGGAGGGCACTTGGGAAGTTATCACCCACGGAAACAGCGTGCAGGAGAGCTGTGCTGCTGCTGCTGCCCTTCTTCAGAACATGTCTCACCCAATCCTGATACGGGTGTTCTCTCTTCGGCTTGCTGGGCTTCAGAGCTTTCTCCCCCAAATGATGAGACTGTTGTACGCCAGTGAGCAGCCTATAGACGCCAGGCCATCGGTGTGTAAATTCTGAGTTAACAGCACTTGCAAAAAGCTATGAATTTCATTTTTCAAGTTGATAATAATCATTTAACCTTATATCCAAGGGTGAGAAAGAAAAAATGCTGGATGAGACCTCCTGTGTGGGAGGAGTAAGTGATGATTCAGACATTGTGACTTTGGAGGTGCCGAAGGTAGAAGAAGTTGGAAGCCAGGAAGAAGCCGCCTCAGGAGAGGAGGAAGGTCCGGCCTCAGAAAACTTCAACATGGGCTCCTCTTCCAGCAGCCAGTATACCTTTTGCCAGCCAGAAACAGGTATGTGGCGTTCTTCGGCCTCTTAAAAGCAGGCAGCGTTCTGTGCAAACAGGGAGTGTCCTGAGGGCAACAGTCCTCAAACATTTCCCCCAACTTTGAGTATGTCATTGAGTTGATTCGACTAAGGATAGGAAGCTGGTTTTCGCCTGAAGTCTCTTGAGCATTCGAAATAGCTCATGTTTTTGGCTCCCCATTGTGAGGACTCTTTAAAAAAGAAAAAAAATATCCCTCCTCTCCCCCCCCCCTCTCTTTCTGTTTTATTATATTATTGAGCGTAGAACATCCTCGGGCTCTCTGTTTAATCACTTGGACACCCCGAAAGATATGCCCCAACTAAGGAACTCTCCTCCCAGTTAAGCAGGGCTGGGCATTCTTTGGGTTAATCTGGTTATGAGCTCTAGAGAGGCCTTGTCCTGAAGAACCAGCCCCATGCTCCTTGCCAGCTCTGGCAAAGAATGCTGCTCTGTGCACACAACACCCAAAGGCTTATGGGACTTGGGACTCCTCCACCCATCCATTTCATTTGAAATAAAGGTGGTTGGTGATTTTTTAAAACCTTCATTGGGAAGCGAGATGGAGCATACAAGTGTATTTCTAAGCTCTTATTTAGAGCTGTTACGTAGAGTTAATACTTAACCTCAGATTAAGCTCGATTCTAGATTTGCTTTCTGGTCTATAACCTCTCAAATAGATGAACTCTTTTAATCACAGTTTACCTGGAAAGTGAGTGTTTTAAGTCAAGTCATCTCTGGCATTAGAATAACTCTTCCTTCTCTTCATCCTGTTCTGGGAGGAGATGCAGACTAACTGCCAGTCACTTGGGTTAATTGATGAGAGTCATAATCCGGCAGGCCTCCTCAGTGCCCGGAGCCTGAACAGGGAGGGCTCGAAGGAGGCAGGTGTCTTCCGTAGACATGGCCCTTTGCTGCAGCCTCTTGGTTGGAAGTTACAAATCTTTTCCTTTGTTTTTTGCATTGAAAGCCAGTTGGTTGGAGAAGCTTTGGACGGTGGTCCTGCGGTGGGTGAGTGGATGGGGTAAGCAGCTGGTATCCGGCCTCTCCTCTCCTTAGCTGGCATGATGGCCGGAGCTGGGCATGCCGTCGTGCTTCTGAAGCAGAGAGGATGCATTTCCCCACCACTCCCCCACAAGAAATAATTCTTGGGGGAGGTGTTTGGGGGGAAGTGGAAGAGAAGCCAGGGCTCTTGGAGCAGCCGTACATTAAAGATGAGCATGAGAGCAGTTGAGGGTCTCGGGCAAATTAAAAGACTAACATAAATCCCAGATCAGTAGAAGAAAATGCATTACAAACCCTTCATATTGCAAGACTTGTACCACTCCAAAGTCTTAAGTTTATAGTCGGCTTCATGCTTTGGGTTTCTGACTTGCTGTTCAACGTGTGCTTGTGTGTGTTTCCATGCATGCAATTTTGCAAGTGTGAAATGTTTAATGAAATCCTTTACATAATATGAAGACTTACCTACTGTAGATACTGAGGTTTCTCCTGCTGTCCTGCTGACCCTTAAAGATGAGATGCCCTTCCCGGCCCCTTCCCCACAACAAAAGGGAGCCCTTGGTGGCCTTTTGCCCACCGGCAGAGAGAACAGAACCAGGACACAGATCCAGGGGCTTTCAGAGGAGGCTTTCCCCACACCTGACCACTCATGCAAGAGCGAGAAGCTTCTCTGAGCTGATTAAGCCTTGGAACAAGCTTTGGTCCTGTTGCCATGACCCCAGATGGCAACGGTCTCTGGAATTCATAGGGCCCAAAGACCGGTTGATTTCTGAACGACCCATGTTTTTCAGAGTATAACATGCATTTTTCCTCCCTTAAAAGACGGTGAAAATTTGGGTGCGTCTTATACACTGAATGTAGCCCCACCCGCTCACCTGTCAGCCTCCACGCTTTGGCTTCTGCCTCCTTGCAGCAACAGCCTGTTTCAGCTTCATCACAGCCCGATTAGCATGTCGGATCGGCCTCCCTACCATCAACTATTTCAGGCTGCCAATTGCCGCCTCCGCGTGCTCCATTTTTGCCCTCCGCACCCCATTTTCAGCCTCCACACGCCTCATTTCCCGCCCATTCTGATCCCCGCTGCTCAGAATGGGCGGAAAATGGAGCGTGCAGAGGCAGCAACAGGCCATGGCAATTCCCGCAGCCTGAAACAGCTGATTGTTGGGAGGCTGACAATCAGCTGCTTGTGCTAATCAGGCTGTGCTGAAGCTGGAACTGACTGACTGGTGTTTGCTGCAAGGAGGCAAATTGCTGGGAGGCAGAGGTACTTTTTTTTCTTATTTTCCTCCCCGAAAGCTGGGAGCGTCTCATACTTTGGAGCGTCTTATACTCTGAAAAATATGGCATATTTACCCTGCATCTGGCACAAGAGCGGCTTTTTGAAAGTGAGCTGCTTTCAAAGGAATCAAAAGCTCACCCATTCTGCTGAAGGCCAAGGTTTTGGTTACCATTCGGCTCTCATGTGGAGGGACTTGCCCAGGATTCAGCCCCAGAAAGCCTGCATGGAGACAGCCCACAAAACAAAGCAGCCACAGAGTGTTTCAGAGCTCTGCTTGACAGCCGGCCCCAGCAAGCACAGAGGGGCCTCTGCGGAGGCATGCTCTGGAGCACAAGGGGAGGCGCCGGTGGGCTGAAGAGCGGCACGGGGCCCCTGAGTGTGTGTGTGTGTGTGTGTGTGTGTGTGTGTGCGTGGAGTGCAAGGGCCTGGCTTGGGCAGCCCCCTTTCCAGGCCTGCTGCTGCTGCTGCTACTTGGGGATCCCAGAGTGCTGGTGGTGTGTTCACTGCTTGGATTTGCTGCCCAGTTTTCCCACTGCAGCCGAGTGGGGAGGAATCCAGCAGTGATGAAACCAGTCATGGCTCCAGCCCCACCTTGAGGCGCCGGCGGGCAAAGAAGAGGCTCCTCTCCAGCTCAGAGTCTGAGGAAGGTCCGCCGCCTCCTGATCCGGAAGTCAAGCAGGCCAAGCACCTGCTGAGCAGCGGCCTGAACCGGTGCATCGTCCTGGCCTTGGTGATTGCGGTCAGCATGGGCTTTGGACACTTCTATGGTGAGTGCAGCAGAGCCTTTTAAGGGGCAGAACGGGAACCTCTTGTCGGGGGCTTCAGCCGAGGCTGCTGCTGCTGCTGCTTGGGGGATCTGAGGCCGGAGCCTCATAGGGCGGGTTCTGTGGGGCAAAAGTGAAGAGCGTAGGGCATACGATGAAGTCTCGGAAGTTCTCCAGGAAAGGTGGGCTATAAAGGAATAAAGCCCAAGTTCAGAGCTGCTGGGAAAGGTCCCTTTTCTCCTAAGTGAGCAAAGGCCTAAAGAGGGGAGTTCTAGGTAGTGCTTGGCGCACGGAGAGACCCAGCTCCAGTCCGCCACGTCCAAGTCATGGCCTCCAGCCAGGCACGGCCTCATGGGAGAACCTGGAGATCCACTGGCAAAAGCAAGCGGCTTCTGCAGTGACCAATCAGGCGATGAGACGACTCGTCAGAGGAATTGTGCAGAATCTAACATTTTTAACCGCTTGCCCATCCCCAGAAGCAAAATAAGGGTTAGATGTGGAACTCTTTATATAGCTAGCTGCGGTGGAGAAGCCCGCTTTCAGTCCCAGCCCAGAGCTTGTGGGAAAGGCTCCTCTCCAGAGGCAGACTCTACGCAACAGGAACGTTTTGGGTTGCAGAAAAATCCTTTTGTAAATAAGCCACGGACCACGCTCTGGCACTCCATGCCGTGTCATATAATTAACGTATAACAAACCAGCAACACAAATATCCTCCAGAATTTTCTTTAGATAGGAACCCAGATGATTTTGGTTTTGTAATGAATTGGCTCAGAATGGAAGCGGCGTAGCTGTTCTTAGATCAATAGTATTTATTGGTTTCTGGTGATCCCAGATTTTGGTTTGGTTTGAGGTAGAAAACATTACACTTACCATTAGAATAATGCTGATATCCACCTGCTTTTGTTCTTCGGGAAATGTGAAAGTAAGAGGCACGATTGACTGCTGTAAATTGAATTTAGCCATCTTTGCCAGATGTGCTGGTTTTGTGTTTACAGTGGGCAAGATAACCTTTACCTGCCCTGGGATCAGGTTGCCTGGCCCTCTACTTTTCCCCAGTGCTGCCTCTCTCCCGAGTGCCCTTGGCCGTGGCGGCTGCTCCTCCTCCTTTGACATGAGGCTTTTTCGGTTTGTTGAGACGTTGCTGCCTGAGCTCCTGTAACATGAAGTGGCTGCTGGAGATGGCTGTGAGGCAGGCTGCAGTCCCCAACATTTCCCACTCCTCTCCAGGTGGACGCCGTTTGATGTGACCACTGTTCCAAAGAGGGCTGGTCCTCCCTCCCCCACTCGGTTCACTCTTTTCAAGATAGGCGTTAAGCGGCTGATACTGGCTGTGAGAGGGATGCTCCCGTTGCACCTGTGCACTCCTGCTTTGCAATCTGCCGCTTTGAAAGTATCAGCCTTTCATTTTTATTAAAGCTGAGCATTTCAGTCTGCTCTACCAGGCCATAGTTCACTTGACAATTCTAAAGAAAGAATATAAGATGTGTTTCTAATAAGCTGCCTAACTTCCCATTTTTCTTGTCAGATAAAAAAGAAAATTTTATGTTTCAAGGTACAGTTCAGATCCAAAAACAACAGGAACTAGTGGAGAAGACTCACGAAGACAAACTGAATGATATGAAGGGGGATCTTTTGCAATGCCAACAAGGAAGTAAAACACCGTGTGGGGTAAGGAGAACGTTTCCATTCCCCATAATTCAAAAATACCTCAGCCCTGATCATTTCCCCCTCTCCCTTACAAAGTTTTGTAACTTTGTCACTTCAAGTGGGCAGAAACAAGTGGACGCATCCTACTTCTTGTCCTTCCAGCTTTGAGATGCAGAGCCAGCAGTTGCTAAGTCTGAGGCCCGGGTGAAGCCAAGGGCTTGTCCCACATCGAAGCCCAAAGGGCGGAATTGGACCACTTTGCCCTTTCTCTGTTGAGGGAGGGAGGGAGGGAGGGAGGCTTTCTGCTGGCCTAATTCTGCTGCTGCTGCTGCTGCTCCATTGCCTCTTTTCCCTTCTGTGCAACCCGTGTGCTCTCTTTTTCCACCCAGTCTCTGAAGGAGGGCCTTGCAAAGTGCTGGCTTGCAACACAGACGGAAAAGGAATCCTTTGAATCTCAGAGGTTTCGCCTTGCCTCGGAGAACCAGCACCTGAGAGAGTCTTTACAGAGAGAGGAAAAGGCACTGGCCCTGCTACAGGAAGAGCTGAGGAGGCTGAGGGAAGAAGTGAGGCACTTGGAAAGCAGAGGCCCTGGCCCCGAGTCTCTGGTTGTGGCCGAAAACCAAAAACTCAGAGTGCACTTGGAGGAGGAGAGGCACAGGATGCAGAGCTTTGTGAAACAAAAGGAGACCCTGCTGGCTGAAGCTCAGATGCTGAGAAGGGAGCTCGATAAAGAACGTCAAGTGACGGTAGCACTTCGGGAAACCTTGGGAAAGCTGAACGCCCAGCACGGGCCGTTGGCGGCAGAGGCCGGTTCGCACAAGAGCCAAGAGACGGAGACCCTGCGAGGGATGTTGGCCGAACTGGAGAAGAAGCTGAGCTTTGAACAGCAGCGGTCAGATTTGTGGGAGAAGCTGTACGTTGAAGTTAAAGATCGTGCAGAGAAGCAGGAGAGAGCAGAGAAAGCCCAGAAGCCAGCTGGGAAAGGGGGAAGCCCAAATAGAGCCAAGGCAAAAGCCACCTTTTTTGGCTCTGTGAAAGAAACGTTTGATGCCATGAAGAATTCCACCAAGGAATTTGTACGCCACCACAAAGAGAAAATCAAGCAGGCCAAAGAAGCGGTGAAAGAGAACCTGAGGAAATTCTCAGACTCTGTCAAGTCCACCTTTAGACATTTTAAGGACACAACAAGAAACATCTTTGACGGAAGGGAGAAGAAGAGGTACGGCGACAGAAGACACGAGACCAGCAGGAAAGGGAGGAGGATGCATCAGACGGACGGTTCTCGGGATGGTCCTGCAAAGCCGGCGCAGCACCAGGCTCCAGGGAGCCAAAGGCATTTTGGCCAGAAGACGCCTCGGCCCGAGGACCCCCAGCCCCTCTCGCCATTGTCCACGGACGGTGGTGCTTCCGGGCAGTGTCCCAAGGGCCCCACGGGTAGCCCAAAGCAGCACACCATCCTAAAAGGCTGCTCTGGCATTTTTGACTGTGCCCACCAAGAATTTATTAGCCTCTTCAACAAAGTCCTGGATCCTATTCGGGCTGATGAATTTAATCAATTAATGCACAAATATTTGCAGCAGGAAGTAAAGAACTTCCATCATTGGCGAGAACTGGAAATTTTCACCAGCAGCTTCTTCCGCAACGGCGTCTTTATTCATGACCAGATGCTGTTCTCGGACTTTGTCAACGATGTCAAAGACTATCTCGAAGACATGGACGAATATCGGAGAGCCAGCGATGGAGCCTTTGAAGGCCTAGACAAGTACATCTACCAGTACTACTTTCATCATCATAACCAGACGCCTCCTCCGCGGGGATCCAGGTGAGTGCAAAACACGAGGGCTGAGGAGGGGGGATCATAGCAATGCCTCTGTAAGTTGGGAGGCTTCTCTCGGGCCAAGAGATGAAAAGGCGATCCTTGTTCACGCTAAGGCACAAGTTACAAGGACTCCTGGTCTGTCGGCCAATTTCTTTGCCCCATCAAACCCCAGTATCAGGAATACTAGGAGATTAGGGGCTTCCACAGCATTCCTTTCAAGTGACAAGGAGTTGAATAGCTGGACCTGAGGCTTCCAGGGTCACCCCTTGCTTCCCCTCCTTTTTGCACCCCATCCCAGTAAGCACCCCCCTTTCATGTTCTCCCACAGCCCTCAGCAGGAAAGACACCTTCCAAAGCACCAGCAGCGTTCCAAGAAGGAAAGCCGATGGCAAAAGCAGGGCCGCAACAATGGGAGGCACACGGCAAACCTGGAGATTGAAGTGGGGCGGCTCCCTTTTGACCCTAAGTACTGAAGGGGTGAGGGAGCCCTGCAGGCTGGCAAAATCCCTCCATGATTGGCCCCTCAGAGAGCTTTCACCACTGGCTTCATCTCCATCCTTCCTGTCTTGCAGTCTTCTTGGGAAGCATTGATTAATTTGGCTGCTTTCTACTATTACAATAAATCAGCAGGGTAAGCAGTAGCTTTAGACAAGTTGTAAAATAAGCTTTTCTGCACTTGTTGGTACTTGGTTCTACTAAAAGATATACGGTAGAGATTTCATCTCATGCTCCAGAAGCACATCTTGATAGCTGTTTAATTACCCTGATCATGATGGGATTTCTTGCGTGTCCTCTTTCTGATCATCTTGCTTTTAAATTTTCTTGCACAACTGTACATTGTAAAAAAAATAATAAAAAGATGGTTCCAAACTGTCTATTCATAGAGGTTTGCATAGCTGCGTACAGTCTGAGCAAATCTGAAATCTTAGCAGAAGGATAAGGCCGCCTTTGCAAAAAAACATGTGGAAGGTGGCACCTTCCACCTCTCCAGAGCCATGCACACTTCTCCTCCTTCTCCTCCTTCTCCACAGACTTCAGGTCAGGGGTCGCTGCTGCTGCTGCTGCTGCTGTTCCTCTTGCGTCAGCTCCATCCCCCCCCCCCATCCTTTAAACCCCTTTCATCAATCTTCAAAATAATTTTTGAACACATAGATGTGGCTTCCAACTCGTCCTTGAGGCAAATGGGTGTGAAAGAATGTGGCAGCTTTTACATATTTGTTCGAAATCAGAAAAGATGATATTTCCTGTAATTAAAAATACAGTTAAGGATTACATAGATTGCATCTACTTTGAAAAATGTTCAACTTGCATGGGAAGCTGCCACAAGACTAGTAGATTGCCTTCTCCCTCCCCAAATCTTACAGAGTTATTACCCAACAATGAAAAACAAAGGGCAAGTACTGATTTTGAAAAGAAAATGGCATTCCCCCTGATCAATCAGAGCAAAGTCATACACTGCAAAGCATCTGGAATACTGTACAGAGTTTTGGTCATCATCACAATGTAAAAAAGATGTGGAGACTCTAGGAAGAGTGCAGAGAAAAACGATAAAGATTAGGGAACTGGAGGCTAAAACACGAAGGACTGTTGCAGGAACTGGTTATGTCCAGTTTAATGAAAAGGACTAGGGGAGACATGATAGCAGGGTTCCAATATCTCAGGGGCTGCCACAAAGAAGAGGGAAGCAAGCTAATCTCCAAAGCACCTGAGGGTAGCAATGGGTGGAAACTAATCAAGGAGAGAAGCAACTTGGAACTAAGGAGGGATTTCCTGACAGAACAATTAATCAGGGGAATAACTTGCCCTTGTGAATGTTCCAACACTGGAAGTTTTCAAAAAGATATTGGATAACCATTTGTCTGAAGTGGTGTAGGGGTTCCTGCCTAGGCAGGGGGTTGGATTAGAAGACCTCCAAGGTCCCTTCCAACTATGTTCGGTTCTGTTCTAATAGCAATAATGCTTAGACTTAACTACCGCTTCATGGTGCTTTACAACCCTCTCTAAGGCAGTTTACAGAGTCAGCCTCTTGCTCCCAACAATTTGGGTCCTCATTTTATCGACCTCAGAAGGATGAAAGTCTGAAGCAACCTTGAGCTTGGTGAGATTCGAACTGCCAAATTGTAGGCAGCCAGCAGTCAGCAGAAATAGCCTGCAGCACTGCATTCTAACCACTGCACCATTGTGTCTTGAGCTGGCAATGCTCATGCCAACCTGGCTGAGGGTAGGGCTACCAGTAAGTAGCCTGACTTACCCTAAAGAAGACTTAACATTTACTATGTGCTACTATGAAGACGTGAAGGGAGGCACGGGGCGGTGGGCTCCTCCATGCATCTCGTTAGGCAGACTTTACGTCCTCAGGTGGGTCAGAACACACACGCCACCTTTGGCGGTGAGGCTCCCCCTGTGGAGGCCACAAGGAGCCCTGCTAAGAAGGCTCTGCTGGTCAGGGGACTCGGGCTTACCTACCTGCTCAAGTACATTGAAGAAGACCAAGTGGGAGGGCAGTTGTGTAGCATTAGGGAACTCTTTGTGGAGCCACAGGAGAGGGCGAGAGTAAAATAAGTCAGCTTCATCCAGATAGTTGCTTCTTCCCATCAAATCCGGAGGGCACTGAAGAAATCTCACTTGCAGTGGGCAGTGAATATGGCTAGGAGCAAAACAAAACCCCAAAAGTTGAAAAGGGGAGGTGGCTGGGCTGACATTCCTCCGGGCCTTTGTTTGTGCTAAAGCATCATCAAAAGAATGGGGGCAGAGATGAGACGCTTGTGTATTCATGTCTCTGCAAGGCAACAGAGATCCACCCACCACTTTGAAGTAAAAATACAAGGCAGGCTACCTCCTGGGGGATGGGGCCTTTTATCACTCTCAGCCTTTGGGAAAGGCCATTTCAGGGGGGGGAGAAGGACACGGGGAGGCAGGTTGCCTGCTAGACAAGAACCTTGGCTTTACCTGTATAAAGGAGTTGAATGACAGGGCATCAGCAGGAGAATGGATGATGCCTGCCCTCGGGCCAAAGGGTTGCAGAGCTCCCGGAGGTAGACCATCACGTCCAGAGTGCCACGCTGATGGACCAAACCCGTGTAGAGGGCAAGGAGCAGGTTGGAGCTCAGCAAGAAGGAGACGGCAGCCCTTCTCCACCTCTTCAGCTGAGCCAGAGAATGTCCTGTGGAAATGAGCTTTTCAGAAGGGGCTCAAGACAGTCGGCTGGAGGGTGCTGGACCAGGAGAGGGACGCCAAGGGGTGCGTTCCTTTCTTAAGATCAGGCAAATAACTGCCTGAAAGAATAAGGGCCATACACAGTGCAAATCCCTGAAGTTATTGTCACTTCAGGATGTGAATTACAGGTAGCCCTTTGCCACAACTGAGCCCAAAATTTATGTTGCTAAGTGAGAAATGTGTTGAGTTTTGCCCCATTTTACAACTTTTCATGCCACATTTGTTGGGAATTGCTGCCGTTGTTGAATGAATCTGGTTTCCCCGTTGACTTGGCTTGTCAGAAGGTTGCAAAAGGTTCCCCTGACCCCAGGACACGGCAACCGCCATAAATGTGAGTCAGTTGTCAAGCATCCGAATCTAAATCCCATGACCAGTTCATAAGTGTGAAAAATGGTCATCAGTCACTTTTTCCAGGTCCCGTTGTAACTTTGGAGAGTCACTAAGCGAACGATTGTAAGTCGAGGACCACCTGTTAAAGGACTAAAATATCAAGAAAATAAATAAAAGACTCTCCGTATGGTAGAAAACTGAAGTGGGGGGAAGCGGCTTTGGCTGTGGAAGAGATGGCCACGGCTGCCACGATGCGTGGGGGGTGGGCGTGTGGTGCCATTTCTGCAGAAGAACTTACCAGGACTGGCATTGTACAACAGCTGACCACTCTTTGGGAAGGGAGAGTGCCTCCCCCCCCCCCCAGGAAAGACGACATCATCCATCAAGCCTAAGTGCTTACCACAGAAGAGCATGCAGACGGGCAGGATGGAGTAGATAAATCGGAATTCTTTGTGGCGAAGAACACTGAAAGAAGTGGACAGGGCAAGACCATCATGGACGTTCCCCAACTTCTACCTGAGTAATTAAGTTCAAGGCTTCTCTCTTCCTCAGAAACGCTGGAAGGCTCCATTCCGTCCATGCCAAGAAGCTCCCCTTTGCTTGGCTGATTAAGGGCAAGCTGACTAAGCCACCCCTAGCTGGGCAGGGCAGGAAGAGCCTTTATGCCGAGCAGTAACAAGAACAAGGGCACGAAGCAATCTCAGAAGAACATGCGGTACCTGTAGGCTGCCACAGTCCAAAGCACAACGACCAAGAACACGCGATGCTTCCTCGGGGCACTGAAGCAGCCGTGGAGGAAGAAAGGCAGGTGGGGACCGAGGATCGCCGGCAAGCCCTGGGTGAAATACCAGTGCCAGGGGTGGGATCCATAGAAGGTGGACAGCTCATGCAGAACATTGAATTTCAGAAAGTTGAGGGGAACCACAACCCACTGCAGGGACGAGAAAAGGAATGGTCAGCTTGCCCCACGACAGGAACGCCGGCAGTTTTCCCCTTGAGGGAACGTTCAGGAGCCACGTCGGCCCCCTTCTCTCTTTTCCAGAACAAAAAAAAGTAAGCCGGCCCAGGCAGGTCTGATTAGAGCTCGCACGGGAGATGGCCAGCCTGGCCGCGCTCTAAGCTGGGCTGGGGAGTTGGGCAAAGAAATGCCAGCAATTGAGCCCAACATAAGGGTACGTCGCACAGTCTCCAGCCCAGGCTGCGGGAGGATTTGCTTTGCTTGGCAAGGACTGGCACCACCCTAATGCAACCCATTATCCTACAACGCCACCCTCTCCTGCACACAGCTACACCGCTGGGAAAAGGAGCTAGGAATCACGTGGAGGGGAGACCCTGCATCCTCCACTCTGCATTGATGTGATCCTCAAAACACGACCTGGGCTCACAGTCTTCCACCGGTTTCTCCCGCAAGCCCATCGCCCGTTTGAAAATGGGGAGAGAAGAAGGGACAAGCAGAGGAAGGCAAGGAGAGGCTGGTGGCCCAGTGCCCACCTCAGTAGTCCTATAGGCTGTAGGAAGAGCAGAGCCCAGAGAAAGGCAGACATTTGGGTTCAAGACTAAACAATCCTTGGGGGATTTGATGATACCAGCTTACCTTGCCAAAAAAGATCCTGTCAACTACTAACGAACCTCCCAAAGCAATTAGTCTGTTAAAAGAGAAAAGCAACAGTTCCACAATGGCAAAACGACAGGTTCTCCCCTGCTCAGGGTCTCCCCCCTCCCCCCCATGAGGCCCTGGATGGGGGCCATGCACTGTTTCCCGCGCCTGTCCCCAGCCGAGTCGTTTGCTCTTTCCCACCTATGCCATGCCAAGCACAGCGTTTCCTAGAACCCAGTGACGCTTCCTTTCTGTGTTGTTGAGCACTGTTTAAAACGTGAGTTGTTCACTGTGGTGATTTTGACAAAACTCCGTAAAGACCCTCTTACCCCACTGGAAGGCAAGCACCCCAGAGGAAGCGCCTCTTGTTGGGCTCTTTCCCAAAGTGCCAAAGCAGCAGTGGAGCCCAGGGAATGGCAGCCGTTGGGCGGATGATGCACGCCAGCGCAACCAGGGCTAGGTAGCAGCGGCTGGAAAGGCAGCAGATGGGAAACTTCAGGACAGCTACAGGAAAGCCACCGAGACGGGCTCCCAACCATAACACAGTCCTAGCGTTTATTCAAATATAAAGGTACATGGAGCTGTAGCATTCATGCATTTCACAAAAGAGACGGAAACAGAGAAAGGTCCAGGGTCCCTGAGCTCAAGGCTCAAAAGAACTGAGGGAAAAGCAGTTTTGAAGAAAACATGTTGGGAAACCAGCCAAGCACAAGAAAACTTGGCCTAAGAATAATTTGCCTGACACCCCCTCCATCCCATGATACAAGGTTTTTCACCTGATTTCCGTTTTGGTGCTTTCCATGGGATAGTAGCAAAGAGCAAAGATGGTGAGAACTGCTTCCATGGTGTTGGTGAGGGTCCTGGTGCAGCAGTACCACGTGAACCAAGAACACAACTGGCAAAAGTACTGGGAACAAAGCCGAAGAAGAGTAGGTGTGTGTTGGGGGGGGGGGGGGGGTCCCAGCCACGGCAAAGTCCTTGGCTCTGAAGTCTGCCAGGTCTCACACCAGACTGAGGGGAGAGGCTGAGACTCACCACCCATTTGGCCGTCTCAAGGTTATCCAGTCGCTTTGCCAAGGAATATAACTTCACATCTGCAAATGCTGCCAGAACTGCCTGGAAAACCCTAGGGAGCCAGATCTGTTAGAAGATGAGACACAAGGAGAAGAGCGTGGAAGAAATGTTTGCTTCTTCCCAAACAGAAATCTGATCTCTCACTGAAATGCAAAGGCCCCTTGAAACACAAAGCCTCCAAAGCCACATTTGAAGCAGGAAAACTAAAAGCACAAGGATTGCATGGACATCAGAGCTTTTCAGGCTCCCTGTTTGGGATTTTTTCAGACCGGCTTTCTTAGACTGAGGTGGTCGCTTACATGGAAGGATGCTGAAGAACCACTGCGCCCCCCCCCCTCCCGCCACACACACCCTGGGTAATGTCTAATGCTTCCCTCCGGCCGCTTTTGAAACGGCTTCCCTGGGCCAGTCAAACCCGGTGGGGCTGGCCTAATGCGGCCCTGTGGGGCGGGTCTCGTGAGGGGGAACTTTGGTAGCTGGCTTTGGACGGTGCCTGAGGCGAGGAGGGGGCCTCGGAGGGAGGGAGGGAGGGAGGCGTTTCGGTCCCTCGGCTCAGAGCTGCTTCAGGGGCGCTTCTCCAAAAGGCAGCCGGGAGCCTCCCACCCTCTCCTGCTCCTCCTCCTCCTCCTCCGGGGACAACGGGGGCTTCCTCCTGTGGTGGTTGAAGAGCAAAGGCGCCCGCGGAAGGGCCGCTCCCCTCACCAGCAGCGGCGCCTGGTCCTTGCCCAGCAGCTGCAGCGCCTTGAAGAGGCCGGCGAAGAGCAGCGGGTAGAGGGGGCTGCGCAGGGCCTCGGCCCACTCCCAGGTCAGGCTCCCGTATCTGGCGCGCCGTTAAGGACTCGGCTGGACGGAGGGGCGAGGCGGGGTCTCCCTCCCTCCCTCCCTCCCTCCCGCCGCCCACCCCCCGTCCGCCTCCCCCAGGATACCCGAAGGCCGCCCG